AAATAAAATGCTTTATTAATGTAATTATTGAATCATTTTTACTTTGAAAAAGAAACCTTTCAATAGAAAACGCACAGGGAGCTTAAAGTACTGCAGCTTCACAAACCATGAGAAGAAAGACAAAATGCAAGCAAAGATAAAACATATAATTCTGTCCATTAGCTTGTGTTTTATTGAATTGAATGTGTGTTGTCTTTGGAGTTGGATAGTCTGATTGCATTTTGTCTGTTTACGTGTAGTGTTCTTAACTTGCTCTCTCAGCCGACACACAAGGGCATCTTAGCCACAATCTACAATCAATAGCATCTAACTTTATTAAAACATTTACATCGTTATCGTGCTGTTATCACTAAGATATCATTTCAATAGCAACTGTCATGTCAGGCAATGTAGCATTTACCAACTCATTTATTTCAAAGATATACTGCCTGATTGTTCAGCCCTCTTCTTCTTCTTGGTCCTCATCTTTAAACATCATGGAGAGGAAAGTCTGGCTTGTTGTTGGGAACTGTAACATAATTAGGGACCGTATCTTTAACATTTTATCCTGGAAGTTTCTTTCTGTGGGGTCTCTGTTTTAAACTCCACCTTTCTATTTTGCACAAACATGGAACTAACACCGTGTTCTTTGTATACAGAGAGCAAGTTGTTCATTTGCTTTATTTACTTGGTTTTCTATGTCATATAGCCTATGGAGCTGTAACAGTGTGCTCTTTATGTAATACACTGCAAACAAAGTATTTGTGCATGAATTTGGGTTACGGAATACAAGTATGTAATAATGTATGTTTTAATTAACCATTTGCAACATGTTGCAAAAAGGAAAATGTTTCTAGCAGCGCTGAATGATAATTTGACTCATTAAGTACACATATACTTCTGGGTTTTGTATCCAACCTCGGCTACATTTTGTTGGTGTGACAGACATGTTATGTCTGTATGAAGTATTTTCTTTACTTCCCTTGATGAGTTCTTCAGGTATGCCATAATGCACTAGATGAGGTGGAGGCCATTAGTCTGGTGATGAGACTGCTTTTTGTTTCAATTCATTATTTCAGTCTGATATCAGGCTTATGTTAGCTGATTTCTATTACAGTCACTGAAGAGAACTTTCATTTGGTTGTTGATTGGGGTGGCCCCTGTGGACAAAAGTGGTAGTTTTTTCAATGAGCAACAACAGCTTGTTTCGTAAGACACAACGGGAGCGCTGTCCACCATCCCACCGTGACCCCGAGCACAACTACAGAACCGTTTCCCCCTGCTAGTTTGTGGCCTGGTGTTTTCTGTTCAGATCACAGTAACTACTGTTGGTAAAGTCATATAGCTCCAGGTATTCAGGAAGAGTCACCACTATGAGAAAAACAACCCGTGATGTTTGGTGCTTTTCCATTCTGAGTTGAATTTTTCAGTTTAAGGCATTGAGGGCGCTCCTGTAAAAACATGAGGTGCTTAGCAATGCAAAAAGTGTTTGCAAAGTGCTTCACTCTCATTGAAAGGATCAAACAAGCCGCCCCAGGCTGCTAAAACGCACTCTGTCTCATCAGGGCCTGACCAGGGCAAAGCACCAGACCTGTGTGAATCACTGAACCAATCAGAAGTGTGGCCAGTGTTTCAGGGGCCTGGCTAGGCGGCCATTACTTTTGTATATTGGAACACCTGTATTTGTATCTACAGCACCAGTCTTTTATTGAGGTCACACTGTGTTGAATTTGGAACGTAAAGTAGAATTAAGTAGAAGAAGTTGCCCTGATTTATTTTGATCAAAGTAGTAATCTTGATGTATAATTTGTGTCAGTTTGAAATTCTGTGCTTGTCAGATTTGAATAATATCTCAGAATGGTTGAGAAGGCATTATGTAGAATTTGCATGCTATTGTTTTTTCATCTTGTTTCCTATATTAGTAATGCAACACTAAACGTACTGTGCATTTTACCTTTTCATTCGAAAGAAATCTGCCAGCTGAGTGACCTTCGTGCAGATTCCTGTGCTATCACAACATTGAACTGAGATGTATAAGTTTGTGTTCTAACATTCAATGTGACTTCCAACCACAGTTGAGGTATTCACTTCAGTCCACATGCTGAGCTGCTGTTAGTTTAGTGTCAAAACTCAATGTTTATAAGGTAATGATATTGTTTTTGTTTTCCAAAAGAATTTATTTGTACTTTTTATTATTTTTATCCAAACAATGGCAGCTGTCGTCACTAATTGCCAAACAGATTCACTGTTCAGTACAAGTCCACTTTTTAAGCAATTTGTCACTGACTCAGAATAAAGAACCCTTTTTTCAATGGAATACGTTTTTGTTGTTGTATCTATTTTCTTATTTATTTATTTGTATTTAATTTGCCACTCACAGGAGTAACAAACATATATTACAAAAACCTTAAAAGCAGGTCCTATTCTACTGTAAAAACTACAACAATATACTGTACTACGTTCTGATTACATGCACATTAAAGGGTTATTGGCTTTGAAGAAAGTAACTAAACCAGATCAGCCACGATAGTCTGAAATAAAAATGATGTTACCATTGTGGAAAATACTTTTCAAAATAAAAGCAACTGGTAGGCATGGAGCCTGTAATTCCGTGTTTGAACTCATGACAGACTCCCACCACACTATCCATCCTCAATGCATTAATACATGCACATCTGCTTCTATACATTAAGAGACAGATAAAGGAATGGGTGGCATATTGAAGGCATAGTTGAAGTGACTTTCCCTGTTGTTTCTGTGTGGTGACTGGGAGCGGTCCTCCCACGGCGCCCTGAGTGATTGGATGGAGCGGAGGACTGGTGATGTCTGCCAGCGGGGAGCTGTAGGCCATAGCCTGAATGATGATGGGAACGATATTTGGTACCTGCTAAAGATTCATCTCGGGAATGTGACCTGTATTTTTCTCAACCGAGCTTGAACTTGATCTCCTTCTCTTGTGCTTCTTCTCCTTTCTTCTCTCTTTGTCTCCTTTCTTCTCTTTTCTTTACATCTTCCTCTTCTTTTTATTGTCTTTCTTTCTTTGATTTTCTTCATCTTCACTGGATTACTCAAAACTTCTCTCTTCTTTTCTTCCTGTGGGCGACTGTGGGTAAGTGGAGAGCAGGGTCGTCCTTCAATCAGAGGGTCGGCAGTTTGATCGGTTCGTAAGCCTCGCACCGAAAGGTTTAATACGAATACGTGTATTATTACACCCCTAGAAACAAATAGTAACCGTAGCTGTGGCGTCATAATGAGGTTATTAGGAGGAGGTTCAACTGTAGTAGGACAGCACTGAAGGCCCAGGTATAAAATGCACGGCCCGCCACTGCAATGCAGAGACTGGCAGATTCAATGATGATAATGTAATAACATAAAAAACGTACCGATTCAAGCAGGCCGGCAGGTATGTATCTGGCAGAAACAGGCAAACAAAAACTCCTTTCAGCAAAAACAGACAAACCTTTTCACTGCTCAATCTGACAGTCAGAGCAAGGACGATGATGCGTTATAAAATCGTATACGGCGATAAAAGCCCCCCACTTGCCAGCAACATTCAGTATCCACCCTGTTAATCTGCTCCCACAAATGGGATTCATCAGTCTTTGTCATGAGTGTCTGACATATAAACATAATGACAGACAGACGCAACCAAAACAAGCTTCTCCTCCATTTACTACAGACGTCACCAGCGCTTTTCCGAAAAGTTCAGAAATGTTCAACTTGAATCACTCGCAGCGTCCTCACAAAAAAGGCGGAGCTGCATCCGGGCACTTACGCTCTCTCCTCATGGGGAACAATTTAAGAAAGAGTGGACAAAGGGAGGACTAACGAGGGACAGATGAAAGTGATCCGAGCAGAGCAGACACTGCCAATGGTAGAGAAACTCACAACAACAAGTAAAACCAAACATACCACATGTGGAGTGAACTTTAAAATAAAACAGGAAACTGACTAAACAACAACCGAAGACCATGACAGTAGCTTCTAAATTGTTTGTCCATTATTTTTTAAGTTTTTGCCTCAATTAAAGATTTATAGTTTGTTTGTGAATTCAGCAATCCAGTATGGTTTAATAGCACTCAGGTGTCATGCATCCACATTTGTTACAGTATCAAAACTGTTTTACCTTATCATGAATGAAGCTGATTCATTTGTTATACAACTCATATTGATCTGGGTGGTGGAGGTAGCAAAAGCATGTGTACTGTACATATTTTTCTTTCAAAATGAATGAGTTAAACAGAGATACAGTGGCAGGTTGAACATGTTTTGTGCTGCTGTCTGCTGCAGTTAACATCATGCTCATTACTTCTGAAGCTGTGAGTACTTCAGTCACTAAGTCAATTCTTTCCATCATGGGTGATCATGATTCTAATTTACACTCAGAGTTGTGCGCCATACACTTATTATATGAAGCTGTCCGACCTATACATCATGTAGTGCTCCAGCCAGACTTAACAGACTGGGTTTGTGTTCACCAGGTAGTGTTAGATACTGAGAAACAAATACAGGAAAGGGCACATTTAAAAGGGTTGACGCCAGCTCCAATGCCAAATTGGTCCAAGGGCGTCAAGTTGGGGAGGCAATGGCCTCTTCCTCAATTCCTAACCCCTTTACTACTGGCACCATTGCTCCAACCACACCCATCTTCCATCTCAACCTACATATCGATTTCAACTGCACACCTGTAAAGTTTAGTGACTGCATCCTTGCAGCTGCAATCGCGTTCATTAAATCTGTCCACAGATAGACTGACATGGTGCAACAATATCAGAGTCGCTGTTGCAGCTCGTAACAAAACGCATCATGAAAAAAATTATATATACTGTATATACACTCCCTCTCTCAGCATGTCAAACACTGCAAGGCCACCAGGGGTTGCCAGATACTTCCACTTCTTGGGCTAGGTGACACAGTTGGAAATGGTAAAAGAGCCTCCAGCCTCCCAGCATAAATAAGCTTCATTGTGCTTGTGGATGGCAACCAAATGAGATGCAACTGAATTCTGGAGCATGAAACAGTGATCACATAGTCAGTGTTTCACAGCATCGGGATTATCATTTTCAACAGATTCCTCAGCCACTCTGTAAGTAATAATGGAAATTGTTCTATTTCTTGATAAGTAGACTCTGTAGAAAATGGGAGAATCTAAAGGGTGCATGGTACAAAAACCTGATTGTAAGACTTGCTTAAGGACAATTGGCAGATAGTCTAGTGAGGTGTTTAAAATGTGGATGAATAATGTTTGTTTGCCCATGAGCACTAAGTAAGTATCTGTGAAGGATGATCTAAGGCAGGATTCTGTCAACTTTATACACCATATCTGAGTTATCTGAGTTTTCATTTCATGTTAAGAATCATAGTTGATTCACTAACACACATTGTCAGTCAGAATAGTCATTCATCAGTGGGTTTCTTTTCTTTTCTTTTCTGTAGAACACTTAAGCATTTAAAGCAGGCGTTAAAGAAGAAAGAGCACCTTGCCCGCTTGCAGAGCTAGCTCTCAGACAGCCATCGCGGTGAGACTGAGAGCCATTCCTATGGTGGCCAGCCAATGCCTGGCCATGGGCAACGGTTCGATAAAAGCCCCACAGGCTGAGGAGAACAGCTGCCTGGCCTCCATCCACAGGGACCGCCCTGGCTTGGACACAGATGTCCTCAGGTACCTCATGCTTATATGTGCTCCGTTATGAAAAACACTATTCTAAGATAAGTACAGGATGACCCGGGAATTCTTAAAAACAGTTTATTTTACTTACTTACTGTAGGTGTGTGTGTGTGTGTGTGTATGTGTGTGTGTGTATGTGTGTGTGTGTGTGTGTGTGTGTGTGTGTGTGTGTGTGTGCGTGTGTGTGTGTGTGTATGTGTGTGTGTGTGTGTGTGTGTGTGTGTGTGTGCTCAGCTGTATAAGTTTCAAAGTTCAACACAATTGGACAAGTCCCTATAGCACTGTTTGTGGGGGCTAGTACCAATTCAATTTTCACAATGAAGAGAATGAAGTATGAAGAATCCAGATTGTCATGTTCTTCATTCTTAACCTCTGTTGCTGAAATGTGAAAGCATACTTTCAATGAATCAATCATCAAGGTGAATCATTTCAAGAAGCCTGTCATGATCACCATGGTTGGATCCATACATCGCTTATGGGTTTCAAACTTTAATAATGTGGAGGGTGTTGTGGAAACCAAATTCAGTTTCTGAATACAAACTGGTAAAATACCGTATGCATGCAGTTCAAACACATGATTCCTTTATAACCAAGACTTCCTCCAAACTTAATAGCAAATGTTTATCAGTGTCTTCCAAAACCTTTTTCATTATTGTTACAGAAAGACTCATCCAAGCTTTTTCTGATCTGCCATGATTTTAAAAAGCTACCATACTAAGTTATGGGGAGGAAATGTCGCGGTTAAACAACACCAATGTTGGCTCTTGGTAAGAACCAGCAGATACAAAACAATGAGGGTGGAAGGCCAGGTCGAGCTGCCTAGTAACTGCTCTTTGCAGAGAGTGTGAGTCAAAGGCAGTTTAATAGGACGTTAGGTTAGTTCTAAGGAATAGTGTCGCCCGAGGGCTCAGTGGTTGACAGTAGAGGACAGCACAGGGTGCAGGGTGCAATGATTGGTCAAACTTCATTTAAAAGGGCTTCCATAGCAATGCTTGTGTGACTTGTACTATATTTCACCATGTGTATTGTTATAGAAATAACACTACAATGAAATAGTTTTTTACAGGTTTTGAGGTTCATATTTCCATCTAAACTTGCCCCATCCTTTATGGATTAGTCCTACATGTGAATGGTAAAGGTATTCATTTGTCGCTAGATGTATAGCTGCATTGTGTCTTGTAGTGAACAATGTGTTGGTGTATAGTAGCCTGGCTTTTTGAGGCTGCCTTTATGTGTATTCAGTGATTGAACCAATACTTATCTTCAGGTTGCGGATTACCCAACTGGAGGCGGAGCTGGCATGTCGGGACCTGGAGTTTCGATCCCAGGAGCTCCAGTTACAGCATCTCCGCGTCGAACTGGAGGCCAAGATCTCCCAGATCGACAAGCTCCAGGATGCCATCGGCTACAACAACAGCCTGGGCCGCTCTCCGCCGGCCCTGCGCCACCACGACCACCGCCGCTTCAGTGTCATCAACCAGGGCCCCAGCCGTTTCCACAGGGTGGCTGTGGAGGTCCACCGCAGGCTCAAAGCAAAAGACGGCGTGTCTGCTGAACCCACTTCGGAGAACTTCTGTGGAGGGTTCAGAGCAGCCCACATCTCAATTGCAAAGTCCATCCACAAAGACTCACAGTGAGTGAAAGGGCAATTCCACACAAATAGGGAGGTCGGTATTAACCTTTTCTGACAAAACCGCATTTATATAACGTCTCGGATTCATAACTGCCAGAATTGAAGAAGCAACGATATCTCTGGTGTCCTGATTCCTGCATTGCTGCCATGTAAGCACAAGTCTCGTCAGACATGTTGTTTGTGTGAGCGATGATATCTCCTCTTGTGCGAGTCACATGGCACGTGTGTGCGCTGGTTGGTTCCGTGTGTGAAATTGACCAGGGGGTCATGTGAATGGCAGATGAATTCGACAGTGTAACCATCATGGTGTGCATGCAATGCAATCTATGTAATCAAACGATCGCTGATAATACTACATTGTGAACAACAAATCCTCCATTCAGTCAAAAATAATGTTATCATGTATAAGAAGATGTTTCCGCAGCAATATAAAACAGATATTAAAGATGAATTACGTGCTGATTAACTTTCGAACACTTTACATCATTAAAACTACTAATGACAAGATTTTAACAATAGAAATACAATCTTTAATTTCCTAATCATTTGAAATGGGTGGTTTTATGCAAATAACCACTATAGATGACTTTAACAAAGTAAAATGATAACTTTTATAAAATTGATAATGATGATAATACATATTTTAGTTCATTCAACATAATAACAGACTGAATGAACAAAGTAAAACTAAATGTACCACCACTTATGATACAACTAGAAAATGATGTATTATGCCATCAACAGGTTCTTTGGTTGCTCAAAAAATGTTTTCATTGAAATAGTTTGATCAATTGTGATCAACCCAAACAGAACATTATTGGTAGGACGACGGGGAAGCTCTGGCAAGCTTTTGTAACACCCCCCACATGTGAAAGGCAACATTAGCATGGCAGGACAACAGAACGACATGGAGGGAAACAAAAGGCCACAGAATCTAAATGCAGGATCCGAGTCATTATGGGCTTCAACCTACGCTGCCTCTCTTGCCCACTACTCTCAGATCCATTCAGCACTCTCCTTTTCAGTAAATTCACTGTGTGATGTGGTAATCAGGGATGCACACTCCGCTCAGGGAAATCTGCTGAATAAATTGAAATTGCAGGCATTAATGCAGTGGCTTGGACCCAGGACCCACATTTGCCAGATTATATTTGTTTAGTAACAATGTCTGGTAAAAGCATAACGGCGTTCATGCAGCGCTGATAAGATTATATTTGTTGTTGAAAATAATAAAAAATGTAGCATCCAATTTAAGTTTTCTTTTGAAAAATAAATTAAAAAACACAACCATCTAAGCCAGGGGTGTCAAACTCATTTCACTCTGGGCCACATCAGCATCATGTTTCCCTCAAAGGGCCGGTTGTAACTGTAAGACTGTGTAAATGTAACTACTGTAACTACTCCTAACATTTTGTTAAATCTCTCTCTGCATTTGATTATTGTTGATTCAAGTGTAAAAATATTGTACATGTAGTTTTATAAATGTAAAATGATATTTAAGCACATTTCTGTTATTATAACATAAATCATTTTAATTTAGGGTTAATAAACCCACATTACTCTATCAAAGATCAAACTATTAACGAAAACAACAAAGACAAATATCATCAAACACAAGTTATGACATTAACTTTGTTCAAAGCTATTGTTGTCACCTCTCTGCATCACTAATGTCCCTGCCGTCGTCCCGTGCATGGCAGCTACATCCAAGAGCTCCTCACAGAGTCAGGTCTGCCTTCAGCCTCTTACAAACACTGATAGATGATGTATCTCGTCTCTGAGCTAGCTGTGTTGTTAGATTGCTGCTAGTTCCTGAACTCGGTCTGCGATGGTGTTTCTTCACAAACTGACATTTGTAAAAGTCTGTATCTGGTCGGAGCTCACCTGCTCACATACCTTTAGCATGCACTGGGCTGTTGCTTCTGTAAATATATTCTGCTGTGATTGCAGTCTGCCTTTTAATTCTTGGACAATTTGATGTTTTTCTTGGAGGCTAAATTTAGCTCCGTGTTTGGTGTCAAAATGCCGACGTGAATTGTATCCTTCATCACCGACACGCATCATAACACAGAAGACAGACCCGTTTGTTCTCCTTGGACATTTTGGGATTATTTGTCGATCTTTTTCAACTCAATCACTTGTTGGAAAACCTCTTTACGGGCTGTTCCCTCTCCTGTCCACCTGTTTTTAAAAAAGAGGTAATAACTAATTAACCATATTGTTACCAAGTGACTGTTAGGAGGACAAGTAATCAATGTCCAGCCACTGTGATAATACTTCACAACATGCTATCTCATAATTTCAACTTTCTATCTCATAATTTCGACCATGGGGATATTTTTATTTTCAAGTCTAACTTTTAATTTTTTTTCCAAAATTAAAAAAAAAAAAAAAAAAAAAAAGTTGTTTTTTTTTGGTAATGTTTGGTAAACTTTGGTAATGTTTGTTTCTGTTTCTTCCTGAATCCCAGGACCAAGAAGCTCATCAACAATGCTATCATGAACAATGACTTTCTGAAGAAGCTGGAGCCACAGCACACGAGGAAGATGGTGGACTGTATGTATGAGAAGGTTTACACGGAGGGACAGCTGGTCATCCAGGAGGGGGAACCTGGAAACTACCTCTATGTACTGGCAGGTAAGCTCCGCAGAAAATGTGTCGCTCTGATGGGTTACTCCACTGTCATATTTACAGTTGGAAAGGCTGAGGGATCTGGGGGATATTGAGGGATTTTGTACAGTTTGCAATACAGTTTGTTTTGAGTAAAGTTTAGGAAAATTCATCTCATTAGGTGATTTACAGAAGTCTTCAGTTCATCATTTACAGATGTTATTTTCCCATTAAGATGAGTCGTACCAAAAATCTGGTTTAGTATTATTTTAAGAATACTAGAATTGTTTTACCTGTATGTTAAATTAGTTGTAAAGTACAGTTTCGGGATCTCTTTTAAATAAAAATTGTAAATGTATGTTTTTTTCAATCATATCAGAATCAGCTTTATTGGCTATGTACGCTTACAAGGAATTTGACTCTGGTTTTGCGTTGCTCTCTACTTACACAGAATTTACAATAAACAGGAAAGATGTAAGCATAAATATTTAACAAGTACAATATAAATATATTTAAAAAGTGTATATATACTGTATATATGAACATAACCCTATACAACAATGCAACAACTGTAGAGTTTTTGCAGAAAATAAAGGGCTGGACACAAATGCAGGGAGACACGGGAAATGGAGGGTTGGATAAATATGGGTTTAATGGTGACAAAAAAGTATTCCACACAAAAACGTGTCAATCAAAAGTCCATGAAAATAAAACATCCAAAGAAACAGGGAACACGGCAGAGGGGAGCGGACACAAAACGTACCAGAAAGTAATGTCAGACAGACGAACAGACGGACCAGGTTTCCCCACAGACGAACGGACACACAGGGTTTAAATACACAGGGAAGGTGCAGGTGATTAGACACAGCAGATTTCAATTAAGGGCGGGGCAGACAACCACAGGGGAGGAACAGACAAAGGCTGGAAATAAAGTGCAAGACACAGGGAACATCTCAATAAAACAACAACAGTGTCAATGGAATTAAGGTAATAGTGCAAACAGAGGTAGTAGTGCAGTATGACTGATTCATTGTCCATCAGAGTGACGGCCAGTGGAAAGAAGCTGTTCCTGTGTCTGGTGGTTTTGGCGTACAGAGCTCTGTAGCGCCTACCAGAGGGGAGGAGTTGAACAGCTTGTGTCCAGGGTGTGAAGGGTCTGCAGTGATCTTTCCTGCTCGTTTCCTGACTCTGGAGGTGAACAAGTCCAGGATGGAGGGCAGGCTGGAACCAATGATTCTCTCTGCAGACCTGACAGTCCGTTGTAGTCTGTTTCTGTCCTGTTTGGTGGCCGATCCAAACCACACAGTGATAGAGGAGCAGAGAACAGACTGGATGATGGCTGAGTAGAACAGAATCAGCAGCTCCTGAGGCAGGTTGAACTTCCTGAGCTGGCTCAGTATAACAAGTTGATTCATTTAGGCTGACATATTCTTCATTACACAGCCAGGTTTCAGTAAGACAAGATAAATCAATATGATTATCTGACATTAACTCATTTACTAATGCAGCTTTAGATGACAAAGATCTGATATTTAAGAGTCCACATTTAATTATCCTATTTTGTTGCACTGTTGCGGTAGTTTTAACTTGGATTAGGTTATTTAGTTTAACTCCTTGACTGTTTACTTTTGATTTAATTCATTGAAGTGGCCGTGGGGCATACACAGTCTCTATGGTTTTGGGTGAGTAACTGCTCCAATGGAAGCTCAGAGAAGTGTGTAAGACTGCAACTCTGCTTCCTGGTCTGAACTCTGGGTTGTCATGGACCAGGTCCATACAGAAACTGGGTCAGATTTGCAGAAATGAGATCTGCTGCATCCAAAGTGGGATGAATGCCCTCCCTCCTAAGCAGACCAGGTTTTCCCCAGAAAGTGTCCCAGTTGTCCACGAAGCCCACATTGTTTGCTGGACACCACCACGACAGCCAGCAGTGGAACAATGACATGCGGCTAAACATTTCATCATTGGTCAGATTCGGGAATGAGTTTGAACTGTATGCTATGTTTTCCTCACTGCAGATGGCTTGCTGGAGGTCATTCAGAATGGGAAGCTGCTGGGGGAGATGCGTCCTGGCACAGCGTTTGGGGAACTGGCCATTCTCTACAATTGTAAGAGAACAGCCACTGTCAAATGTAAGGGACTAAACCAGTTATGGTTCTTAATATGTCTCACCTTTGGGATTACATTCTTGCATTCACTCCCTTGTGCTTATATGTGTATCACGTTGTGTGACAGCCATATCCATATCATATACAGTATCAGACAGCCACTGGCTGGATGGTACATGAGCAGACGGTTATTCACAGAGGGAGTTATTAAATAAATATTATCTATATTTTTGAAATTAACATTAAAATATTAAAATATTTCAACAGAGCTTGTTACAGATCAGCTACCATGAATAATATACAAAAATAAAATAAGAAATGACATCAAATTAAAATGATATGGACTTAATAAATTAAATTCACAGAATTAATTGCAAATAATGGCTAGTGATGGCAATGGAATCATTAACTCTGCTACACATGCTAACTGAGTAGAGGCAGTTGTCAGCAAGACATCCTAAAGTGCCTTGAAGTTCGACAGCATCATCAGATTTGCCTTACACCACAAAAACTGTATCAGTGTTAGTATTACTGCCAAAAGATTTTGGCCTATCAAACTCAAAGTCCGCGACTGAATTTCTGTCCCAGTCCGTTCCTGTGTATAGGTCTTTTATGTACTGTACCATAAAATGAGCCAATTCATGTAGAAGGACCCTTAACTATCCTCCACTGTGAGGATAAAGATATCGGTTGAATGAGTTTTTAATGATTCCATTCCAATCCAGCTGTGTCCCAGTCTCATATCTGGGCACTGGACCGCAAGGCTTTCCAGACCATCATGATGCGGACCACACAAGCCAGACATGAGGAGTACTTCAGCTTTCTGCGAAGGTACAAACCCAACTGACAGGATGTCTCTACTCACATCAAACAGCATTAGCCTGGCAAGAACCTGTTAACACTCCGACGGCCCGCCCACGGGCTTTTGGAGTGTTAAGTGTACATCTGTGTCATGTACACAACTGCTATGTATCGGTAGGTACTGATGTGACATATCATTGGAAAGCTAAGATTCTTGTGATTCGATTTATGCAAACCGTTTCAAGAAACAATCACAACAGTAGGTACAATCAACGCCTCTGTCAGACCACCAACCAACAAACAAGCAGTTACAAAATCGAGGCAACTCACCGATGAAGCTTCATAGTAATCCACCCATCGATAACATTCCAACAAAACATTGGCAAAGGTCCAGAAGATCCAATCCAGTAAAATATTTAGTCCAAAACACATTATTACATCCATAAATACCCACGGACTGCTGTTGCATCATTTCAAATTAGCCGGCCGTAATGCCAAATTATCTATGTATTTTCTGTAGTAACTCCAGTTTGCATGTAAACAGAGACGCTCTCTGTGTCTCAAAATGGCAGCTGCACTCTGACCTTTCGATTGACACCTCACTTGACTCATTAGGAGCTTCAATGTCTTGTCCATAGCCTACAATAGCCAACGAGAGTCTTATTTCGTGTAAAGCTCGAGCCAATTGCAACCGATCGTTCTGATGACTGACGCTTCGTATAGCCAATGAAATTTCGAAAAAGACGATATACAGCTTCAGGGGTAGAATTAGAGCCAGAACACAGAAGTCACGGCGTAACAGCGAGACTCTGCTGCTTGCGTCCGTGCGTAAAATGAAAAGTATGGTTTTGGAGACTTTAGGAAAGTGAATAATGGTGAAATAACTTATAAGTTACTGTGTTTCGACATAAATAAGCTTTAGTTTGAATTAGGAATACACATTTTGTAGATTGCCAGTGTTTGTGTGTGTGAAGTTGTATTACCCCTTTGTTTCACTGTGTGTGTGTGTGTGTGTGTGTGTGTGTGTGTGTGTGTGTGTGTGTATGTCTTTAGGTGTTACTGCTGATCTGGGGGAGGTATATACTGTATATATAAACATCGAACAAAAAGTTCGGAAATTAGTGTTTGGTAGATTACTTCTCTGTTGTAACAATGCTTCTTTGCAATAAATGTTATACTGTTGGAAAGCCTGTTTATTCACCTTTCAAACGGTGCCCCATTTGTAAGGAACATGCATTTGTAGGATGAGCAGCACAGCTGAGTATGTGGGTTGCACCCATGAAAAATTTGCCAAATCTTCTCTGCCAATGCCAAACAGCATATTCTGCTGTTGCTATCGACTCTTGTTTGGTGTTGTTTGGTGGATTGGATGATTGAAGTCTATCAGTAACAAGGAAGAAACAAGACATATCGGCAATTTTAATTTATTCATTTAACAAACAGTCAGGAGCCTCAGTAGCGTGTGAGGTCAGGACTGCTGGCAGGCCATTCCATCCTCTACTCCCAAATTCTGGAGGTAGTCTCTGATAAACCGCTCTGTGGGGGCGAGCGTTGTCATCTTGGAGGATGGAGTTCGGTCCCAGACTGTGGAGAAATGGGATTGCCACTGGTTGTAGAATCTCATCTCGATATCTCTCTGCATTGAGATTGCCTCCAATGAAGACAAGCCTCGTTTTTCCAGTGATGGAGATGCCGCCCCACACCATCACACTGCCTCCACCAAAAGGTGTTACTCTATCGGTGCAGCAATCAGCATAGCGCTCTCCCCGTCTTCTCCACACTTTGACCCTACGATCCAACTTCCTTAGGCAGAATCTGGACTCATCGCTGATCATAACATTCCTCCACATGTTCAGGCAGAGAAGACTTGGCAAATTTTTCATGGGCGCAACCCACATACTCAGCTGTGCTGCTCGTCCCAGAAATGCATGTTCCTTACAAATGGGGCACCGTTTGAAAGGTAAATGAACAGGCTTTCCAACGGTATACAATTTATTGCCAAGAAGCATTGTTACAACAGAGAAATAATCTACCAAACACTAATTTCCGAACTTTTTGTTCGATGTTTATGTATATATATATATATATATATATATATATATATATATACACACATAAGGAGGTGTGTGTGTGTGTGCCTTCCCCCCTCTGTGTTTCATTGTATGAACTGCTGACATGTGAAAATGCAGAAAAGATGGAAAAGTTTTGTCTAGTTTTGTAAATGACAAACTGTTACTTCTTTATTTTCACATAGGCAATCATGTGATGTAGATTCAGATCAGGAGTGGGTTAGGCCTTTTTAGCCTAGGTATGTGACTATGGTTACCAAGCGTCTCCAGATGGCCTTTTTTGGAAAACGCCAAGACATACCCTTAGAAAAACATGTGTAAAATATTAACTTTCTGTGGTATTGTTATCAGATTTGAGCCTGGACTAGGTAAGGCTTCATGCTGTGGTCCCATTGTGTTTCCAGCTAATAAGTCCAGCTATAGTCATCTGCAGGCATCTGTTTGCAAAGAAATATTCAGGCGGAAATAAAAACCTTCTCCTTCAGTGTGTGCAAACTTCTATTACTCAATGCCAGTAGCACTTACAGTGATTCTGACTGTTGGGAAACAAACTTCAGAGTGTTACCTTTCAAAAGAGACCAAAACCGTGCATGTACTCCAAATGGTTCAAGAACAGCTTTCAATTTACTTTGGGTATGCCTTGGATAGGCGTTATAGGCAAATTTTACTGGAGTGATAACCACTTAGTAATGTAACAAAGAACAATAATAGCTTTGGCTTTCAGATGGGGTTTAGGTTTCAAATGGGGCTGTATATGTCGTGTTCAGTCGTTTTGGGTCTGAAAGATGTAGTTACAGGTCGCAACCTGTGCAGAACTCTATACAGTCAGCAGTATTGCATGAGCTATTTGCGTGAAATAGGTCTTATGACAGATATGGTCAGGTTTTGGTAAAAGCAACACAGACAGAACAAGACAGGGTGCCGTCAAATTGTCTATGCATTAAAAACTGCAGTGCATGTTTATCCCTGAGGACAACCAAGCCAATACCAGCTGGTTATACACAAAGCCTACATTTGACAACATGAACATAGTGGACATGTGCAAACAGATACTCGATTATATGTGGATTTGAAAAACACTGTAAGAAAAATAAACTAAAATGTCTTAATTACATAATCACAGTTATTGAGTTATATTTAACATTTAAAAAATGTATTAAAACTTTATTTAACCAGATACTGTACGTCCCACTGAGATTACAAGCCCTGGCCAAGACAGCAGCATTACAGTGTTTCAGACAACATACATGCAAACATATGAAAGTAAAAACACACAGAACAAACAGTATACATTCAGTGCATTGTTTCAAACAAAAACCAACTGTATCAACTACTAAATCATGTCAGATCTTACGTGTAATAAATCTAACCGTTTGTATTATTACATCATCAAAAAAATCACAAATACTAGGCAATAATTATTATTATGATAATATAAGCATTATACGGATGTCCTAAATTTAAGTCAGTTTATTCAATTTAACAAATTACTATTGTATTGCGGTTTCACTGTATATAATCAATCTCTTATCACTTATAATAAATGTGAATATTTGTTTCTCTGTAAGTGTGTCTCTGCTCCGAGGACTACCTGAGGAGAAACTAGCCAAGGTTGTTGATTGTCTTGAAGTGGTGAGTACTTCCCATTCCACCACATTTCTGGCAGCTATACGTTATGCATTACATGCAGTTCCATATAGTATCCGTTTCTAACTAATTAGTTTCAGATTGTATCTAAGTCGATAAGAAAATGACTGACATTCTGTCTTTTCAGGACTATTTCGAAAAAGGGGAGTATATTATCCGAGAGGGTGAAGAAGGGAATACTTTTTTTATTATTGCAAAAGGAGAGGTGAGACGTCAGCACATTCTTGTCAAACATGCCATCTTAAAGCCTTAATATTTTCTTAATTGAAAGCAAATATTAGTTTGGAGCCTGTTCAAAGAAGGTTGCAGTCTGGTGTGGATAGTATAACACGCTAGGCCTTCTCAATCTGTGTTCTGCTTTGTACTTGTGTTCCCGTGGACTTGAGCAATGTCATTAGTTACAGCCAAAACTGTTATTACAAAACTACTCTTGCTCGCTCAGTAGCGTACGAAGAAGGATTGAGTTCAAATAACAACGAGCAATTTACCAGGAATGAGAGGCAGGTGGCTGGGTTTCCGTCGTATTTCTCAATCTGGATCCCTCTAGGCTCGTGACCGGGAAGAAGAGGCTCAGATAGCACCTCCTCTCGTGAAGGCTGAGCCAGAGAGTTGGCCGCTTCAGGAGCGATGGCAGAAGAGGCAGATGCTGCCTCATCCACCATCTGCAACTGGTTGGAGAGTGAACCCACCATGTTCTCCATAGATGACTAGAAAGTCCCCTGATGAGCCTGCAGCTGCTGCATGGAGGTAGCGAGTGAAGCCAGCAGTTGTTCGTGCTGGTGAAATCGTTGGCCCTGGTTTGAAATAGCAGCTCTGAGTCGGTCTGATCTTGCTGAGTCTGTCATGGCCAGATTGTACTGTGATGATTAGAGTACGACTCAAGTGCAGAGAACAGACCAGAGAATGAAGTTGCAAAAATCAAAGTATTTTCTGAGGCTCAGTTCAAAACAAGGCAGGACAGGCATGAAGCGAAATGAACATGCATAACAGTAGTTCCAAAACAATATATATATATATATAATAAGTTACAAACAAAACAGGTAATCAGCGGAATTAACACCAGTCATAAATGGTCAAACAAACAAAGCACCCAACAAGACTACTGACTATAAACAGGATTACAAAAGCAGGTTTCAGGAACAACAGGAATCGTAAATGACACAGAAGAACTCGTCTACGGGAATGACTGAGACAATCTAGCACCTGCTTAGTGACCAGCTGGGATTTAAGTACTGCGGAGATCTGATGATCAAATGAAACACAGGTGCGTAACAAAACAGGCAGGAAACTAAACAAAGACAGGAAGTAAAGTAACTGATGAAGCATGGGTAGGTGAATGACAACAAGTGTTCATGTGGGTCGTCACATTATGTAACGGCACTTAGTTATTCCAACCCAAACCATGTTTTCCTAAACCTAACTCGGTAGCTTTGTTGCTTAAACACAGCAGGGCCTTATGGAGGCGCACTGATTGCTTATGTTGCTTGACATTCTTAAGAAAATGCGCAAAAAGGTAAACATTGATCAGAGTATCACTCTTTGAGTGGCCATTGGAGTGACTCAATTTCTACGGCATATCCTTTTCCCATACACTGGCTGACTTACAGAAAGTCCAACAATGAAAGAATGACAGACAGAAATATAACACTGATTAGTAAAATAGCTGTTGCTTTGCCTCATTCTAATGTTTTCTATTTGTAGGTCATAGTCACTCAAAGCACAGAGGGCTTCAATGAGCCACAGGAAATCAAGACATTGGGAGTTGGAGACTACTTTGGAGAGAAAGCTCTCATCAGGTACAAGCAACATGTTTACAGAAGGCTGAGGACTCAGTGCATAACATTGTATTCCAATGATTTTTGTTTCTTTGTGGTAAATCTGATCACATTAGATGGCTCAATGACCATAAGGGAAGGCCAGTGAACTTACACTAATACTTTCCAGCTGTTTGCCTTTAGGTGTACACAAGTGTTTACATCACATTATGTGGACGGATTAAAAGCTATTGTTTGATGTTGATAATGACAGTGAATGGTTAACTCCTCTGTTTGTCATGGCCATGTTGTTAAACCACTACATTATCACACAATTTGAATGAGTGTTAACTTGGTGCACTGTTGTGTCTTGTCCATTGTGTCTTGACGTCACAATGTCTTCCTCAGTTGTGTTTATTGTTGACCACTCTGCCTCTCTGTCCCTCCTTCCAGCCACATTCTCACTTCATCATTGCCATTTCTCTACCTGTCCACCAGAGGCCCTCAGACATTTCCACCTGGTTCAGTCACCTGACTCCCACATCCAGCCTTGCAGTAACCCCATTCCATTACCTGACCTGCCCACCTGATCCCCATTGCCCTCATTAGTCTTGCAATATATTTATCAGCCCACTTCCACTCATTCCCAGTCAGGTTGTCAATATTGCTTTGTGCCGTTGCTTTGTGTATCTTACTCATAGCGTGAGTATTTTATTAGTACCTGATTCATTTTCATTACCCTGAAATTATAGCCCCACCGATGGCGATGCTACCTCATCACCAATATCTTTACAGGCTGAATAGTACTCTCTTGCCCCTTTCACACGGCCTGTTCAAAATGGGGCTGTGCTGCCTTGCCGTTCTGTATAAAAGCTACGGAGGGGACAGAGTTGTACCACAGCTGAGCCGGCAGCGAAGGAGGGGCTCTCTGAAATCAAACACTGGGGCGGCAGTTTTGCAGAATCTTTGCATTGCATTTCCCTATCTACACAGACAGCATTTTTTACTTCCATCACTCTTTTATCACAGAACAGATATGTTTACATTTTAACAAATGAGACGCATGCAGGGGGGATCTTAAGTTATTAACCATATCTATGATGATGATCAAAACCAGGATTCTCAGGATCATAAAATCCTTAACATCCTCAACATCTTCAATATCCTCAGCCACATCAACTTCCACATCGTCAATATTCTCAAAATCCTTGGCATCCTCAACAATCTCAAAATCCTGAGCGTCCTCAACAGGCTTTGCATCCTCAGCATTAAAATTCTCAAAATCCTCAGCATCTTCTACATGTTAAGCATCCTCAAAACTATCCTTGACCACTTTAGCATTCCCGGGATCCTCAGCATCCTCAACACACTCAGCATCCTCAACAGCATCTTCAAAATTCTCAATAAATCTTGAAATCTTCGGCTATCTGAATATCTTCAGCCAAGTCAACATTATTATCATCAAAATCCTAAGTACTAAGGTTTTTCTAGAAGCCATCCAACATCACTGTTGTGACCAGTCACACTTTTAATAATAACTAATGAACCAATGAAACCATTTATTAAAACCAATGAAACCCACCAATGCAAGCCAATGAAACCCATACATACGAGAAGATGACACCTAACTACCTGTGCACTGTAGTGATCACTATTCATGAAAGGGTAATGTCTTGAATCTGGTGTGAAGGCCCGTACAGAATCAGAGGAGACATGGGACACATAACTCTGCTTATCTAGTATTGGTCTAGTATTGTACAATCAAAAAACAAGTCAAAGAGGTCGGTGACAAGAAGAGTCCTTCAGAGTTTAATGGTCATATTACATCAGAAAAGCTTCAACAGCACCATTTCTATAGTAGAATTGTACCATTGATGAGACAGAGGAGAAAATGCTTCCTTCAGGACATACTTTGCCTTCATCCCACAGCAACCAATACAAACAAACGAAAGAGGTTCTTAATATCACAGCACCTGGTTCATTTGAATCCAGTTGATGCTGTTGGCTGACCAAGGCATGCTCGGTCACACTGCAGTGTGTGCATATGGGTTAGTGATGTGTTTGTTTCACTGAACTGTACATGTGTGTTTACAGTGAGGATGTTCGCTCAGCCAACATCATCTGCAATGAGAACGACACACACTGCCTGGTGGTGGACAGAGAGTGAGTAGCTGGATGTTGTTTACGTGGCATGTTATTATGTACAGCTGGATCCTTGTACCAGACTCTTTAGTTCAATGTAATCTGCATACCTGATGTTAGATGACAATGTAGATAATAGTAATACTTCAAAAGTAAATACATACGCAATCTTATGAATCTGAATCTAAGCATTTCATGTCAACCTGGGTAAACTGTCCGCGAGAAATCTTTTCGAGGTCGGAAAACTGCCGTTGAAAAATATTTTGTGTTCTGCCAGAGAGGTCAAAGAGCTAAAGGTGGAAACCTTGACAATAAGCTTGGCAGCCTTCTGGAAGCATTCACAACCTACATTTTACTCCAAAATAAAAAGATTTATTTATTATTATTGTGACGCATTGTTCATCATCTAACTCCTTTTACTTTAAATATATAATTTCAAGTGAAATTGTAGGCAAATCTGTGTTCTTTCAAATAATGTTGACGTGGAAGCAAACAGAGTTTTGTACATTTTGTTATATTAGCCTGAAAGTGAGAGGATCCCCAACAGTGTGCCAAATATACAGTGGCAATCGGAGGTCACGTCCAACACTTCACCCCTCTGTATGTTCAACTTTTGAGGTATATACTGTACATACGAATTCAACCTATTCCTACTTTTCCAACTGTTCCTCCTACTTTACCCTCTTCGAAAATACTACAGCCAGCACTGCAGTGTAGCATCAGCCTAGCAGCTTCCAGCATCCACACTGCAATGCCTTCAGAGATTGTGTTTCTAGTAAAGTATTTATTCAGCACAGGGACTATACTGTTGGGTTTACAGTTGGAGCCAGTAAAACGTTATCCATCTGGGGACAAAGGTAATATTTTTGGACAGATCCCACTGAGTAAGCATCCATGCAAAATATGACATACTGGTTAGAAAGCAACCTAGCTGTGCTATCCTACACTAGGAGATGTGTCATCATATCACCTGTGGTCAGGGGCAAGTTCATAAATGCATTTAAAGACAAGGACAAAATGAAATATACTGAAACTATATACTGCTAGTTTTCTGCATAGCAATGATACCCAATACTGTGCTTATAGATGACAAACACACACACACTGAAAATAAAAGTTGTTCATGTCTTTGCACCCTGCCTCCTCCTCTCTAGCAATTTCAACCAAATGGTGGGAACTTACGAGGAACTCCAGGCTTACCTGAAGGAATACGTGGAGGAGCTTTCTAGGAATGATGAGAGGAGACATGCCCTGTACGTGCACAATGACAGAATAGCACAAACATGTGCAGCTGTATAAATGTCAATCAAGCCTCCTTGTAAAGTGACAATTGTAGTGACTGATTGCATGTCATATAGTTATTACTGCATTTTCCGCTTTTCTGATCATAAGCTGATTTGAAGTTCAGTTTGCAAATGAGTCAGTCTAGGCCTAGAAAGCAAAAAGGGCCCAGATGTAATGGTGTGTCCTGTGTGTGTCCTCTGTCAGGCCACACTCTCCTCAGGTTGACTCTGCAGAGGCCCAGGAGCTGAGGAAGCTGAGGGAGAAGATTTCTCTCCTGCCTTTCCAGGAGCTCGAGGTCATAGCTACATTGGGCATGGGAGGATTTGGACGAGTGGAGCTGGTGAGCTGCAGTAACACTATAATGCCCCAACTATCACCGGTAATTAGTCGGCCCCTCTTTATACTGGAAATCATTGAGCTGGATTCTGTTTACAGCTGATATCTTTGTTTTGCCAAACCCAGATCTTGTGGTTGTTTAAAACTCACCCATATATCTGCATATATAAAGGGGTAGTGTCTGTGGCATCAATGTTAGGATTGGTTCAGTGGATATGATAGGGTGAGGGATAAAACATCTGGAACACAGGGACAAACATTCAAGTGACACACAGCTTTTAAGCCATTCTAGAAAATCACGAGAAAAGCCTGAGATTTCCCAAAGTCCGTTCATATCATTTAAGGCAGGTTGTTCTCAAGGTTTGTAGCCATACCTCTGAAAAGTAATGCACAGTAATTCATATATAATCCCAAAAATCAATGTAATCCATGTAATCATGAGCCAGAAGTCAGATTTATTTGTCACGTAACTTCCGTACTTCAGTAACGGCACTTCTGTCGTTTTTTTAAACCCAAACCATGATCTTCTCCTAAACCTAACTAAGTAGCTTTGTAGCCTAAAAATCTCTCTCACTGTAGCTTGACATTCTTAAGAAAACAACAAAATAACTTTTCGTAAGATTTCATACGAACCGTTGAATGAAGATACGATGATCAGAGTATCGCTCGTTGAGTGGCCATTGGAGTGCCTGCAATTTCTACGTCTGCAACTGCAACATTTAGCAATGATGGTTCATTTTAATATCATTTGTTTTCATTTACATTTTTACAGACATTCAGTCAATGTTTAGTTGGTGTGATGTTTAGCTGTAATATAGAGTTCTAGTGTCCCTCAGTGAGCATTGCTTGTTTCTCAGGTGAAGCTGAAGAATGAGGACACCACGTTTGCTCTGAAGTGCATTAAGAAGAAGCATATTGTGGACACCAGACAGCAGGAGCACATCTACTCTGAGAAAAACATCCTTCAGCAAACAAACTCAGTGTTTATCATCAGGTGTGATACACTCAGGTTTCTTTGTTTCATAAAGAGCTATTTTAGGATATTTAGTTCTTTTCTGTAATCTGAGCTAGTGGAAGCATGTAGATGTTGATTGGAAGAGACTAGAGTATGGGTAAGTTGCCTCTTTTATTCCTTAGGGGGCTGCTCGGGGTGTGGGTTTCTCTGTGGAGTTGCTAAGGAATTTGCTGGGAGAATGCTTGTGAACAGGGTCCCACCACTGCTCTGAGATTTATCTGGACTATGACTTTAAAGAACAAAGGCCTTGTGCAAGCATTCTGTTGACTGTCATGCAAAGGGAAAAGTTCAGCCAAAATGTGATGTTCACTGTCCCACTTAATAAATACAACACTCCTATCACTCAGTTTCTTCTTCATTAGTTCAGAGGTTCAGGGGCTCTGTGTTGAATGAAATCTAAGAATGCCCATTCTTAAAAGTTCCTGTTCATGGGCTCTCAAAATACAGAGAATGAGGACGAAAAGTATTTTTCTCTGAAGAGCTGTTGCATCAACTATTGTAATCTGCAGTGCCTCACTTTTTTGGTGACCTGTTATAGGTCAATAGAAGTGCATCATAGGCATGTTGTAGGAATTTGATCATCAGTAATATATTTTCAGCATTGTATTACCATAACAAGACATCAATGACAATGCAAAACATGAGTTTCTGCTAGACGTGCGCCCCAATGTACAGCATGTATCGTTATTTATAGTTAGGGGTCTTAATTTGAGTTCATTCTTGATCTGTTTTGTTCTCTATGCTTATGTTAGGAAGTGTTCTTAATGCAACACAGTAGTTAACAAAGAGTCTCTTGGCTGTCTGTGTGTGTATTTCAGGTTATTCCGAACATTTCGGGATGATAAGTTTGTCTACCTGCTGCTGGAGGCGTGTCTTGGTGGAGAGCTGTGGACTGTGCTGCGGGACATGTGAGTGTAGGTCCTTTTGTTACATTCATAACAACTACCCTCTATGCTCCCAGAAAAGATGTTTCTATTGAATAGCCTTAAGGAGAGTGGTGGCATGCATTAGCAATAGTTTAGCGAAAATGATTGTGTTCGGATTTCCACAAGCCAATAAATTGATACAAGACACTGAGACAAGACTTTTCAGAAAGAATGGTTGTAACCATAATTCTGTTATAATTCTGTTTGCAGTGATATGCTTTGATTTTTCATGTGCTCCGCTCTCAAAGCCATTTAATAGAAAGCTTTTTCTGGGACCATGAAGAGCCCAGGGAACTGAGTACTATATATTTGAATATATAGAACTGAGTACTATATATTCAATTCAGATTGTTTTTGGCTGAACTATTCCTCTGGTTGAATTTCCAGTCTGTTGCATCTGTAACCGCTGTCAGTGGTGACGTCACAGTGCACTGATACACTCTGGAATACATTTGTACAGAACTACAGTAAGGTGAGAGGTTGAGGCTCAACAAAAGCAAATGCACCACAAAGACTCAAAGAATATAGAGATAGGGGATGAAGTTGGATAAAGATGGATTGGGGAAAGTCTGGCTGGCAGAAGAAAGAGGGGAGCTGGCGGCTGGATGTGAGCAGCAGACAGGCAGGCAGTGATCCTGTGGGACAGAGAGACAGAGTTTGAGATGAACCAATGCAACTTCAATGCACATTTCAAGAGGCCTGAGTCGTGCCCCATCACTTTGGCTGAAATAACGATCTGTCGATGAGTGGATGGAGAACTGTGGTTGATATACTGCAGAGTACTTTGTTGGCCATAGGCATATGCCTATTTGGCTAGTGCTTCTGCTGTACATTAAGTTTTTACTGTGGTGACCCATTGGATTAGTCTGTGCACTGTCCCCGGCAGTTTTCTTAAAACTGGCCATTGGTCGGCTCTGTGTATATTCATAGAATTCCATTAATTTGTGGATCTTTTCCCAACCTATCAGGAGTTATTTTGATGAGCCCACAGCTAGGTTCTGTACTGGTTGTGCCTTAGAGGCCTTTGATTACCTCCACACTATGGGAATCGTCTACAGAGACCTGAAACCTGAGAACCTTCTACTGGATGCTGAGGGATATGTCAAAATGGTAAGCCTCTGTCAAAATACTTTTTCCTGTGACGTCCTAGAGTGTTATTCATTGTGTGTGTATTATTGTTGTGTCGTCAGGCAGACTTTGGCTTTGCTAAAAGGATTGGCCTTGGAAAGAAGACCTGGACGTTCTGTGGGACTCCAGAGTATGTGGCCCCAGAAGTCATTATGAACAAAGGCCATGACTTTGGAGCTGATTGCTGGTCCTTGGGAATCCTCATATTTGAACTTCTTACCGGCAAGTGAGTCAGTGAGGTAGAATCTCATACTCTTGAGATATTTGTCTTTTAGAAGAAAATATTAAAGCAAAGAAATTTGCTCTACATAACATGAATACTGCGGTGACACCCGTGATGTGTAATGTGGCACGATTGATACTCTGGAACTGTTAGGACTGTGTAAATGGAAGATATAGGAGGGAACGAGTTTTCAGGGATCCTTTCATCCTTTAATTTCTGTGTCAAAAAAACTAATCTTTTCTTAGTCCTCTTGGTAGTTGCTGTGATTCAACATAAAGAACCTTCGTCAGCAGGGTCATTTCTATGCATCAACATTCATGAGGTGCTTTGCATTGACCATTTATGGCTGAATGTGGGCATATAGAGGGAGGGATGTGTTGGGAATAACAGCCTCAAAAAGGGGGCACCAATATGTTGGGAACGTAAAGGAGCGTGTTTGGGTTATCAGCATCTAAGAAACTAAATTCTTGACATCAATAGAATTATTAATGTCAGTAACAATTATTAATAATAACGGGGCACCACCCTGCGAACAGGGACCAATAACCAAACGATAAAACTAAGTCTCATAATTAGTGTTCACTCACAATGTCAATAGTCTGAGTACTATTACACATTCAGTGTGAAAGTGAAGGTTTAAGGTCGAGCACAGACCACATATACAGCTATTATCACAATACACATGCACAAAGTAATCACAGACAGCTGCTCTTTAAAATATAACAGAGTTTATTACGTTCTAATACTAATGATCTAGTCAACTAATATCTAAACTAACAACAACTATACATTCATGAGCACGCTATCTAAAATCAACAGACGATTGAAAGGCGGGGGGGAGTGTGTGTGTACATGTGGTGTGTGTGTGTGTGTGTGTGTGTGTGTGTGTGTGTGTGTGTGTGTGTAAGGAGGAGGAGCGAGGGAACAGCTCAGCGATGTATGACGTAGTTGGGACGTGGTGACGTCTCTCATGCGCGAGACTCAAAATGGCGGATAGCCAACAGGAGACCTGGCGTCTATACGTGCCGGTAGCCGTTTAGCACGTAGCTACATTAGCTCAAAGCTATATGTGTGTGTGTGTGTGTGTGTGTGTGTGTGTGTGTGTGTGTGTGTGT